ACAACCACGGGGCGAGAGGGAGAGAGAGACGAAAACTCCAAATATACAGCAGCAGCAGGCGTCGTGGTCGGGATCGAACCCACGACCTCCTGTACACTAGGCGAGGTTGTTAACATCTCTCCACCGTGGTGTCCCAACCCGTAGGTCACCTGTAAACGAGTTGGCATAGCCCGGAAGCTCGTACACGATGCGAGCATCCGTCACGGTCGGTGCCAATCCTCCGTCAACGGAGATAAAGCGAGCGCTGACGGACGTGGCAGTGGGCGACCGTCGTGGCTTTTCTCGCAAAGCCACGAAGCTTTCAGCTTTTCAGCTTTCACGAATCTGTCGAAGTGCCCTTCCCCTCGCGCATCTCCGAACCGCGTGGGACACCATTTTTGCGTAATTTAACCGCGATAAAAGTTCGCAAAATGTTGCCGTATATATATAAATGTGCACGAAGCTCGTTGCAGAGGGCTCATATCTCTCGTAATGTTTGATGTCAGGTTGGAAGGAATCCACTCTGCGGATTCAACCCCCATGTGCATTCGTTTGTCCGTCTGCTAGCTAGGATGTGGAAATGATGTAAATTCATTGATGAAATATGATCCTTTAGCTCACGATAGGCATACTGCGTAGCGGTGCGAATCCGGCCATTGCGTGTCTGCCCTGACCAATTAACCGCGTGCGCCCAGTGTGGTATGAGCACGGTTTAGCTGTCATTTGCTACGGAAGTTAACGCATCCGACCTTTGTGCATACCCATTAACTACCTCAAGTCAGTCCCTAGTGCGACGTTGTGCTCTAAATGGAGTCGCATATTATTTAAGAATTGACGGGGGAGGGGGGGGGTTTCCATGGCTGTAGAGAGACGTCTCGCTCCAACTTTCCGGTGCTTTGGGCAACTGTGCAAGTGCTTTGGGTTCACGTAAGGCCGGAGGTGAAGGGGAAATCAATATTTGTCGGGGGAAATCTAACGTGTGATCATACAACTCTGACGCTGGGCACTGTGAGACCAACGCAGGGAAACTTTGAAACAAAAATATCTATCGGTGATTTAAAAACATATTGTAGGTAATGGGTTTGTGTCATTCCCGCGGCAACTAGAGGCATCACCATTCAGCACGGTGAAACAAAAACACGATCCTCTCAATGAATCGTCAACCGCTGCATCGCGAAGATCACCGAACTACAGGGGAATTCCTTGTTGGAGCACCCTCATTTTAAGAAAAAGGCATTTCGAAATAAATCAAAAGCTCTTGCTATTCAAACACAAACTAACATACTCCACGGTCGACGGATAATGCATAATGAATGTTCGGTAAATGTAACGAGTTGTGGGGCCAAACTAATTACGATTTTGTTTTGTTTATTTCGAACACCGCGGCGCATTTGTTCAAGCGGTGCACCAAAGTGTGAGTGCGGTGCCTTGCGGCTCTACGACTGAACACGAAGGCGCCTCAAGCCAGCGGACGCACACTTTAAAAAATTAATTGTAACGAGGACCTTTCAAAGAGCGGCAGCCACTGGTGACTAATCCGGGTTGTCGTGCGGCGAGTTAGTTCGGCTCGGCCTGATTAACAATGACTCGTGTTGATATATATGTAGAGAGATTTTTTTTTAAAAACCCAATCACTCGCATTCTATTTTTCATGTAATTAGCGATGCAAAGTCAAAACAGTAAAACAGACCTTGACGGATTCAACCGATGCCAACAGCACAATCGCTAAAAAAAACGAAGAGAAACTCTAACAAAAATATAATAAGAATTAAAAAAAATCCCTGCCGGATTAAATTTGGATTATGCAGCCTGCTCCACATCGTCCCGAGATTTGGCTTCTGCCTGTGGGTGTTAAGCAGTATTCATGCCACGGTTTGCTGAGCAGTGAGCAAAGCAGCCTGAAGATCTGTGCTGCGTCGCGTGACCCCCCCACAACTCCCACCACTCCCTCCATCTCCCTAACTCCCCCCCCCCGCCCCTTCCATCTCTATCTGTGGCCCCGAACACCAGGACCCAAAGGGGGAAGCGCTTGCATCCGAACGCGTGTTTCCCCGCTGCATGGCGGTACGCGTGTGTGTGCGTGCGTGCGTGTGTGTGTGACGACGCATCGATTCATCTTTAAAATGGATGATCACGTTCGCAACAACGTTGCACCCAATCTAGCGCGCGCGCGCGCGCGAGAGGATAACGTTTGAGATGCCGTGAGAAGAACAGACGAGAGGTGGACAACATTAACCACGGAGTGGACATCAAGAGGGAGAAGGCAGGAAGCGAAGAGGAAGACAGTGGAAGAGATGGCAGCAGGGAGATGACATCAAAGAGTTTGAAAGCCACGACTGTACAGGATAACTTAGGAAGGAATTTAAGGAAATGGATGCCTTTGACCAGCAGTGGGAAGTTACAGACACGGCAACCATCCACGCCAACAACATACGATGTATGTAATTGGTTCATGTAACACAGCGGTTTTTTTAACCTGGGGTGCACGCGTCCCTAGGGAGTGCGAGATGCCCTTTCTGGGGATGCGATACACGCCCAGATTTTTTTGAAGGTAAACAATCGAAGCACACAAATTAAGCGGGGCGCGCGTACCTACAACTACTTTGTTTAATCAAACCCTAAGTATTTATTAACGTTATACTTTTTTTACGATTGAGAACCAAAGGGGTACAAGGTTGCAGTCAAGGTTAAGAGCCACCGATGTAACCTCTGCAAACTGCTGCTGAGAGTGTGGCAGGGCGCGCGTGGTGTGGCAGGGAGTGCGTGGTGGGGCAGGGGGTGCGTGGTGTAGCAGGGGGTGCGTGGTGTGGCAGGGAGTGCGTGTTGGAGCACGGTAGGAAATGAGCAATTTTTTTTTCCCTTCAGAATCTACTGTGAGGCGAAACTGGGACAAACAAAAGCCACAAAATCCTCCTCGTTCGTCAGTAACGATCGCCTCAAATCGAACCCTTCCCGTCCCCTCCCTGTGCACGACGAGAATAAACAACCCCGCCTGAGCGGAATTTAAAAAAAACACCCAGTGCATACCTGCGAAGCGGTTCACTTTGCCTCACGATTCGAGTTGTGATTTGATTACGGAATTAATTATTACTGTTTTATTTTTTTCAAAGTCGTGATGCGGTTTAGTTCCCCCCTGCCTCTACTGCAGTGGTTTCTCAAACTGTTTTGTGGCACGCGGACCGCGCGGCCGATGTAAAAAATATGCACGGACCACGCCTGGCGACAAAACGCATTCGCTTCTCTCTCTCTCTAAATACCAGTAACACAACGTGATTCATATTAAGGGAACACAAAAACACATTTTTTAACGCAGCTATAAGGGTGATTTTTTGGGGGGGAGCATCTAAATCTTAAGGTTAGGGTAGTTTAGTCAGGGTTGTTTACTTAACTTCATTTTCCGAACATGGATGGACTCGTCCATCTAAACAACTGCCAAAATCGCTGTCCGTGGTACTAACGTTCAAAAAACCCCACTTTTTTCAAATTTTGTTGCTGTGGTTTGCACACCTGATGATCATTACTTGTGTTGTAGTCTAAACGTCGTGATAATTTTATTGTTTTATATTTTTATTATTTTATTGTTTCCCTTCTACGTGACTTTACCGAAAGAACCAAGAATATGAATCCCTGCAGTCACGAAAGCTTTAAATAAAAATTCATTTTTTTAAATTAAATACTCTCTAAGTAAAATGTGAATTAACGTCCGAAACAAAAGGTTTTTATTTCCGGAGGACCGCGTCGGCCCACTGGTGTTAGCGGTGGGCCGCACTCTGAGAACCACTACACTCGTGGCTTGCAGCGATCGGAATGTGCTAAGAACATGAATTCTATGCGCCTCATATTTCGTGGCTTAAAAGACGGGCTCCTTGCCCATAAACATTGGGCAAATCCTGACTCTGTAAATGAGGCACTGAATGTTGCAACCGGTCCAGGGTTTGACTGTGTTCAGCCAATCCTGCTGACTTTATGCACTCCCGAAAGGAAGTATGGCTGAAGGGATGCGTAAATAATTAATTTTCTTTTTTTATACGTGGAGGGCCGATACGGGAGGGAAACGTGCGGAGCGCTTATTTGCTCGATCACTGTGAGGTACAGCCCATCACGGCTTAGTAGGGGGCAGGGTTCGTTAACCACTGTCATCACAGTAGCTTATGTTTAAAATAATACTCTTTGGTTCGTTCGGTAAAGTCACGTAGGTAGAAAAATAAAACAATAAATAGTATATCAGCAGTGGAACTGCTGAACCAGCATGAATCTTGCGTCGTCTGACAGTGCCGTGAGGAACGTTGCCCTGCCATCCAGCCCTTGACCGTATAGAATTCGTTTTCATCAACAATATACGTGCAGTGTATCTTCCTGGACCAAAAACCATAATAGGTGTAATTATATATGCAAGACCCATTGAACCTTGGCAGAGATTCCTAGTGACAAATCCCATGTTTTCGGTCAAAAATGTGTATTCACGACCATTCATTTGTGACCGTTCATTTGGTTCAATCAAAAGACTACGTGCCCGAGTACGCACACACATTCGGGGTGACACTCAACACTGTCATCTCCTATTGAGCAGCCCCAGTTCCAAGACATCTGGCAAGCCTTGGTGGTCACCCATCCAGGTGCTGTAGGTATGAACCAAACTCAGCCTTGCATACCTTACATTGTCCAAACGACGATATCGGGCACATTTAATGTGATAATTTTTGTCAAAGGAAAAACTAACCGGACGCAACCGTGCTCACACTCAAAAGGACATAGACCCCCCCCCCCCCCCTCATATTTGAACATACTTTAGGTGGCGATGTTTACCCTCCGCACCAGGCACTCATTTGAGGCTGAGTAGACCTAGAGGAGGCCCAGGACCGGTTCAGATCATTTTCACTGGTGTTGGCCGTAAGCAGGAATCTAACTCGGGTCACAGCTCAATCACACACAACAACCGCCATTCGCCACTAAGTGGCGGTGACGTCCCCACGACGCTTGTGCCAGGCCAGACATACACACACGCACGCGCCTCGGCTTACCACAGAATGTGATGATGTGGCTGCTATCTTCATGAACAAACTTCCTTGTCACAGCCTCCTCCATGATCTGCTTCACCTGGTGGATGAGAGGTGAGAGTGGAGGAGAGAGAAAAATGCTGTCAAAGGGTATTTAATTATAATGTATTATTATTATTTTTTCGTATTATCACGCGTTTGTTTAACCAGGAAAGTCTCACTCTCATGCCTTTTTCAGGAGGGGTTCTGCCAATGTTTGCATTTCAAGCGGGGCAGTTATGATTGCCATGTACAACTTGCGAATGATGTCACGTGATCTGTAATTATCACTGTGAAGCAGTCGGCCTGTATTATTCTTCGGTTAATGCACACCACGGAAATATGACCGGGCCGAACACTGGAATCGAGCTGTAAACCTTCGTAGCAAGTGGCGAAAATGCGCTACCGTGAGGCCGTGTCACTGCTGCAAATGTCACCTCATTACCTCTGACGATCTACCATACTTTTGTAATCAAAGGCAAAGTGATTTCTTACTCAAATGATCATTGAGGCGGTGGCTCGTCCGAGCTATTTGGTGGATATTCTCATTTTTTTACGCCAAGATTGAGTCTATCTGTAGGACGTGGACTTCCCCGCAAAGTGGTCTTCAATTGATTGACTCTGCTCAGGAAATGTTAACAAGCTGATGAGGAGGAACTCCAGCTGTACCTCCGTGGAAACTGGGCCACACGGTAGTCGCACCGATCGTTGTGCCACTATGCCACCCGTGGCAGTGCGTTTCAAAATAACAAGCGAATGTGATTGCAAATCTCCAGAGTCGTGGGGAGCAAAGAGAGCGTTATAGATGCTGTTTGTAATTACATAATCTAAGGATGGGGTTTTTTTTTGTTCTCCTTATGATTGGCCGCAGAATGTTTAACTGTGACGGCAAATTTCAAATATTGCGAATGGGTCCTTAATGGGACGATGGCCACGATTTGGCTGTGCCTGTCTCCCATCACCCTGTGAAAAGGATATGATGCCGCTGAGCGCTTCAGATTTTCACTGCAAAACCCCCAACCCATTTAAAATGTGCTAATCCCCTCCGTTATTTCATTTATTTATGTATTATTATTGCTTTACATTTTTTTAACCCGTTGCTGGCCTGATCCTGCCGCTGCCTCTTGGCCCTTGCCATGGTCGCCGTCTCACGTGGCGGGGACTCTCGCAGGGCCTGCCACGGCTCCGACGGTGGCACGGGGAATTTGATGTTCTTCCAGTGAAAGGTTTATTTTTTTATTGTTTTTTTGCACAGCATTCTGAGGATGCAGTCATTTGTAGACGTTCTATATGAATCCGCATTGTTGTTCATGATATACCACATATACCACATCAACGTATTGCCATAAATAACATTTCCCTAAAAGGAAAAAAGTAACGTTTCAAGAAATGGCCCCTTCTATGAATATGCTGTTTTTGTTGTGCTAGTGCACCAGTGCCAATCGAGTACCACGTAAAAATGTGTTCCATTGTTATGCATTTTCTCAAGCCGTTAGGCTAACATGAAGGCAGTGTCTCATTATCATCTGTAGAATGGTCTTTGATAGCATCCCCACTCGTTCTTTCGTGACTGCAGGAATCCATACTCTCTGGCTCTTTCGGTAAAGTTACGTAGGCAAAAAAATAAAACAAAATTAAAAATGTTTTTATTTTATTCCCACCACTCGCGTTAATGCATCAAGTTCAAATGGCTGAGAAGGCACTTGACAAGCTGCAGGTTCGTCAAGGGGAATTTAAGCTACCCTGGTATGCTTTGACCTACAGCTCTGACAAGAGGCTGGCACGAAGCAACACAAGTGCAGTTCTTTGTGTTCAATTTGTTACACAACGTAGGTTTGGGCGGATCACATTGGTTACAAGGGATGACGGCCGAAGTGTAGGGGGCGGGGTGGGGTGGGGGTGTGGGTGTGGGAGGGAGGGAATCACGAAAGAGTGGCAGCCAAGGGAGTCGAAAGCATCCCCCAGTTTGGCGTCGACCACACGGGTGCAGCGACGCGATCAGCTGGTCGCGAAGGTGCACGCTGTGCGAATTGTTCCATCGGCGAGAATGTGAGAGGCGTCTCGAAGGACGCCCTTCGATCCAGCAGCGGATTGATCATGGCCGCTGACGATGATGAATTGTTCTGTTTACTAGCCACAGGCACAATTGTGTCCTGGGGATAGGGCGACTGTAGAATGGAGATCGGATTTAATTTTAGACTTAAAACTTTCGTGACTGCAGAAATTCATATTCTTGGTTCTTTAGGTAAAGCCACGTAGATTAAAAAAATACAAATCTAAATTAAAAGCAAAAAAAACCCACGACTTTTCGATCGCAACACAAGCGGTCTTCTTCAGGTGGAAAGAAAACAATATAGAGATCGGTTTTAATAATGGTGACAGTGATGCACGTTGGCAATGTTCTGTCCCGCTGAAATATATAAATGGCAACACCTGAAGCTATTTAACCTGGGAAAGTAATTTAGATTGCTGTTGTACCCCTCTGGCGGGCTTGCAAGGTGTCTTGTGATAACGTCCATGCAGGCTACGCACACAGTATTTCATCCTGGGGAGTAGGGTTCATCCATTTTTGCTCCATGGTCTACAAATATATTTTTTTCTGGTTGTCGAGGAGCTTCTCATGTGTCTGGAGTGAAGTGTCTGCACTCTGGCGATGCTCAAAACGCAATGTGGGGTATTTACCCCCAATTGCTAGGCTGCCTAAAGAGTGCCGCATTATCCTAGTAGCAAAGTGGCTACAAATGTTACGGGCCCCGCACTTTCAAGGGCCCCGCACTAAATGCTTTCAAGCTATCAATTCCGGTGCAGTGATTCTGCACTTGACTATAGTACTATGCTGCCTTCAACTTTTATGAAACGACTGGGTGTTTAAGGTTAGCGATTTGTCGCATTATCTGGCTTTATAGAAAATGAAAAAAATTCAATAACTTTACTATGCAAGTAAAAATTGTATGTGTTTTATTTTTGTCACAGTCCCTATGATCACTGTTACATTGCAATTATGGCTTTATTTTTTGGTGATTTCGAAAAGTTTTTTGGTTTGGACATTTTTGTTTTGTTGTAGTACGGAGTTAGACTGATGGCCTTAATCTAAGTTTTCTTGTGGTTGTTGTTGTTGTTTGACTTGCATCCCACTGGGATTTTTGCACACAGCGTTGGTGTACGGTGCTTTTTCAGGAAGATTTTGCTGTTTTTTTCATGGATTTTCTGTTTGCACAGTCACATGGTCACTTTAAGATGTTTTCTTGTTCGTGTTTTTGTTTTTTTGTTTGTTGTGGTTGCACCCGATTCAAGAGCCGAATGGCTCACAGGGCTATACCAAATAAATAAACTGAAAACTAAAACTGTATATAGGGCCCCTTTATAGCATATGCTACAGGCCCGGCACTAGCTTAATCAGGCACTGAGCCTAAACACACACTGGCGCATATTGCTTCGACGTAAGGGTCTCGTTTTTTTTCCTTTCAAATTGAATATCGGATAACCGCCAAGCTGAAGGCCCTGCTGTCTGTAATGTCTGCACACGTCTCCACCAGCCCCATTTTATTGTTTTTTTTCTTTTCTGGGGCTCCTCTGGTGTGTTTGTGCTGCGTGATTGCTATAATCCGCGCTGCACACACGTAAACAAGGCCTCCTTGTAAATGTGCCCGTTTAAGCCTGCAGGGAGACACCCCGGGAAAGTATAATTTAATATAGAAAAAGAGCGTCAAGCCCAGCCTGCCACGTCGATTATATTTCTGTAATTGACTTGTGCTGCATGTGAGTTATTTTAGCTGTGCTTGCCACGTAGATATAATTATTATTGTTTAAGTTATCGGTGTACTTTTGAACCTACATGTCAGAACCTAAGCATTCTCTGAAGGTAGTTTTGTAAATTATTTGCTTTCTTCTTAAAGTTACGTTACTACAGATCCATGACGTAATCTTAACGTAGCTTTTATAACTATAATGCTGTATATACATATACGATCGCGCCTAGAGAAAACCTAGCGAGGCAGACACAGTGAATATTCTTACAGGACAAACATCGCATAAATCTGACTCGGTGGGAACTGAGGAATGGGGCAGGATAGGTTACAGATTTAGAGCTGTGAACACCAATCGAAAACGAAAGTCCATTGTTATTTCCTAAAGGCGGTGGTGTGAAACGGGTCCACGAAGAAGCTCACAAATGACAAATCATCCTTTTCCATCCCATCCTTTCGGAGAGTTGATGTGTTATCATGATATGTCGCCCCCCCCCCCCTCCTCCTCCACCCCCACTCTCGCTGCTGCTGTTACCTTGCACGGCGAGGTTGCTGGACAAAAAAAAAACAGATGAAGCACAAACCGATAGACAGGAGGGAACGCTTTGCTGTGCGTCAGCGGTGAGCGAATGCATGTCGGCGAGACCAAGGATCCATTACCGGAGGATGAAAACGTGGGATTTAGGAAATGACAGATATATGACGCGCGCGTAATACTCCACTGGAGTGTCGCGGTGGGCAATTGTGGCGGCCTGGCGTGCGATTGGTTGATATGCGAGGTTGATAATGTACCGCAACATCGTCCTCTGCGTTCTACCAAATGTTGAAGCAGAACGCGAGTGTGGTTAATTCGGTACGGTTCATTCGAGCCTCATCGGGTGACATTTCATTTGACAACGAAGTCCACTCGACGAGATGGATGGCGGCTCAAGGGGATTTAAGATGATTCGTACAGAAGCGCAGAGGGCTGCAAGCAAGCCGTCGCCCCTTGCAATGCGGCGTTTGCCAGACCCCGAGCGACCACTCGGCATTGTTAAGGATGCTAACGTGCAGCGCATTTTGATGGCCTCAAAGCCTGTCACTGATGACTGCACAGGAACTACTTCCTCTCGTAAAACTGTTAATGGCAACTTAAATGTCTCCGTGACCAATACAGGGGCTGCTGCAGCAGCAGCAGCAGCGAAAGCACGAGAGAGAGAGCGAGAGAGAGAGAAACCGCTCACGTGATAACACAGCACTCTCCAAATGGTGATGGGGTGAAAAAGAATGATTAGGAAATTTGCGAGCTTTAATGTGGTGTTGTCTCTCGCCGCCG